GCAAGAGAAAAAAGAAGCCAAAACTCTGAATATATGAACAATTCAAAAGGAATAGAGAAAAACACAGTAACTATAGGAGACAGCTAAAGAAAGCCAGCAGGCATCTGATTGTGGTCTTTGAAGAAGGGACCCAAAACAATGGAGCAAAAGAAGGATATTTTAAGATATAATTCAAGGAGTTGTTCATGTACAGATTAAAAGGTTATGATGTGTGGCAGGAAAAACTGATACACATCCATCTACAGAACAACCAATAGCTAGATATTTAATTTAAAAGATAAAGAAAATTTGGGGTATTCAACTTCAGGTCAGCTATATGAGGAAAACAAACAGGCTGGCTTCAAACACTTCCACTAATGTAGAATGATGTCTACACATACAGTTCATTTTATTTTATTTTTTATTTTTTATTTGGTACTGGGGATCAAACTCAGGACCTTGTGCTTGCGAGGCAGGTGGGGTGCCACTGAGCTACATCCCCAGCCCTACACATACATTTTAAAGAAAGTATCACCAAAGAATTTTATACTTACTCATATAAACATGTAGATAAAAGAAGCTAGTGTAAAACATGAAATAACCCAAGAATAAAGTTCCCATGTGTTCTTCTTGAAGAAACTATAGGAAGACAAACTTAGGCTGACAGATTAATGGAAAATTATGGCAAAGACTGGTAGTGATTACACATTCTGGCTGATTGTAGGTCTAAACCTAAAACAAATCTGGATATAAACCCAACAGGTAGTGAAAGGGATTAGAATATGCCTCTCCAAAATATGTCACTTTGGTCTAAAGACTATTTTGAGCTGAAGGCTATTAAGAAGTAGCAAAGAGGGCCGGGGATTTAGCTCAGTATTTCCACTGTCTGCCTCACAAGCCCCAGGTCCCAAGTTCGATACCCGGTACCAAAAAAAAAAAAGTAGCAAAGACAGGAAGAACTCTCTACTCTGCCTTATCTGCCTAAAATGAGGACATACATTTTCAGTTGGGAAAGTTGTTCCCTCTTCCCTCTCCCATACTAGAAGGTAGGCAAACAATTGCTATCACAGCACAAAAAGTCGGCACAGTACCAGAATGGGTCTGTACAAAACAATTCTGAGAAAATAACCTCCTTCCATTAGTTTTACCCAAGTATTTATCTTCATACCATTTCCTACTAGCAACCCAAACTCCTTTTCCATTGTTTATGCCTCAATAATTGTTGCCTTTTGTTAAGACTATAGTCTAGCTCCATCTTTAAAGTACCCATATGTGGGTATTTTTTGTTGTTGTTGTTGTTGTTGTTTTTCTCTTGTTAATGTGTCTTTTGTCAGTTGGATTTGCAGGCCTCCAATATTGGAACCTAAGAAGGTAAGGGAAAGCACTTTTTTTCCCTCCTTCCCTGTAGTACGGATGATCTAACTAGTGAGAGCAGGCAGGGGAAGGGGAAAAATGTGAAAGATCAAATAAGCACATCCTTTAGAGCAGAAGAAACAAAAGACAAAGTTACAAATCAAGAAACAGAGATAGAATGTTTAAAGCATAAAGATAAGCACCAAGATAAATAACAGAATCTACTTCACTGGAGAAGGCCAATTCTCTTCCCCAGTTTTGTAGCTTGGCACATAGCCAGTTGAAATTAGAACTTTCTTTTCAGCCATTATTACGGGTAAGCAGTTTGTGCAACTTCATAGACTTTCCTTACAGAAAGAACTTTCTTCCTTCTGCTTTTTTTTCCCCTTTGTGATACTGAAGATCAAACCCAGAGCCTTTGCTCTGTGTTACAATATCCAGCCCTTTTTTATTTTGAGACAGGGTCTTCCTGAATCACTAAGTTGCCCATGCTCAACTCAAACAGATGATCCTCCCAGAGTGCTAGATTACAGGCATGCACCTTCATGCCCAGTGTGTATTTTGGAATACAGAAGTAACAGCCCAAGCTCTAGCAACTTTCCTAAATCACGAGATACTGTTAGATAGAAAACCATTCATGAGCCAGGCATTGTGCCATATACTTGTAGACCCAGCACAGTACTTAGAAAGCTGAGGCAGGAGGATCACTGAGATCACTGGGCTACACAGTAAGACCTTGTCTCAAAAAACAACAAAAACAAGGCAGGGGAGAGAAAGGAGGAGGAGAGAAGGGAGAAGAGGAGAGAAGTGGACTAGAGAGATGAGGGGAGAGGAAGGGAGGGGAAGAAAGGGGAGGAGGGGAGAGAAGGAAGAAGAGTGGAGAGAGCAGAGGAGAGGAAACGAAGAGAGGGAAAAAGGAAGGAGAAGAGAAGAGAGGGTCATTTATGACACAGTAATATGTTAAAAAAAAAAGCCTGGGTCCCTGACATAGCTAGGTAGTATACCAGGAGCTCTGGAATGACCACCTCCTGAATTCTTGAACATGAGAAGAGAAATGAGTGTTTATTTTAGCCAGTTAGTGGCTGGTATTTGGTAGTTCTATGTGAATTGCACCAAATTAATCCTAATTAACATTAATGGTATGAACATTACTTAAAATGACACCACATGCACAAAAGAGACCTGAACAAATAAAAGGATGTAGAGCTGGGGATGCAGCTCAGTGGCAGAGCAATTGCCTGGCATTCATAAGGTCCTGGGTTCAATCCTCAGCACTGCAGAAAGACAAAGAAAGAAAAGAAAGAAAGAAAGAAAAGAAAGAAGGAAGGAAGGAAGGGAAAGAAAGAAAAACTAGACAAGCTGAGTCTAAAATTCAAATAGAAAAGAAAAAGAATGGCCAGGGAATTCTGTACAATAAAGGTTCTGAAGTAAGGATGGATGTGCATGTGTATGTTTTGTCTGATTTTTACAAAATTATAATATTAAAATAATGTAGTTATAGAGCCTAAAAAATGAATCAATAAAACAGAAAAGAAAACTTATAAAAGTAAATAAAAATAGACACAGGAATTTACCAAATGATAAAGTTGATCGTTCAAATCAATAGAAAAGATAGATTATTCAACACAGCCAACCATGTAATTATCTGGAAAAAAATGTGAGTCCCCATCCCACATGTTACATTAAAGTATTATCTACATGGATTGAATTTTTTATATAAAATTAAAGTACAGTACTAAAGAAAGTGGGTACAAAAAGTTATTAAATAATCTCATATTGGAGAACATATTTTCAAATACTAAATAAAACCCGGAGCTGTAAAAGATTTATAAAGCTGACCACACAAAAATAAACAAGCTCAAAATGAGAAAAATTACACCTATTAATTTTATTTATTTTTGGTACCGGGGATAGAACTCGGTACCTTAAACTCATGAGGCAGGCCATAGAACCACTGACCTAAATCCCTGGCCCCACCTATTAATTTTACAAAGACAACAAACTGGTCAAAAATTTCTCAACCCATATCACACAGGCTGACATTCTTAAAATATTAAGAGTTCTTTTTAATTAATAACAAAAAGCCATCAAGTAAAGTAAATATAGCTGGGGGTGGTGGCTCACACCTGTAATCGCAGCGCTCAGGAGGCAGCGGCAGGAGGTTCACAGTGAGTTTGAGGCCAGCCTGAACTATAAATTGAGATCCTGTCTCAAATTTTTAAAAAGCAAATATATATTGTCATAAAAATATAGAACACTAAACCTAAAAAGAAAGTCAAGTTTATTCACGTTGAAGAAGTGCAAGGTAAAACTATTTTTACCTATTTGGCTAAGATAAAAACCTTTCATAATAAACAACACTTTGTTAAATTAAGGAGGACACGAGCACTCTCATACATTTATTGCAAGAGTGTAAATTGGTACGAGTTCCATCAAAATCAGTTTGATAATAGTTAAAACATTATAATGTGCATATACTTTAACCAGATAATTCTACATATTGTACATGTTTGAAATATCAAATATACAAGGTTATTTGCCACAGTATTGCTCAGAATGGCTAAATATTGGGAATATCTTTCATTTCTATCAATACAACACTGATCAAATACATCAGACTCTCAAGTTACAACTGGCCTGACATACGAACAACTTGGGTTAATTAGGTTAATGGAAGATTCATCTGCCTTTTGTTATCTATAGCATTTACCCAGGTAAACATACAGATCTCAGCTGTACTGATTTAGAACCAACTAGCCCTCGGGAACTGATCAAGTCTCTAAGTCAAAGGTCCACTGTAAACTAAATACAACCATATAATAGAATATAATGTAACCATTAAAAGTAAAGCTTTGAAAAAAAATCAAGATGCAATATATATGTACCAATTTTCCTTAATGGATATATTTATTGTGTATTGCATCCATATTAATAAAACTTTTAAAGTAAGGCTTCGATAATGAGTGTGCCAATCAATTCTTTAGAATTTTCTACTTCCAAGAAAACTGTTTGAAGAGGATTATACCCATTAATGAACATGACTGGACACCATAAATTTCTTGATCCTCACTGTACCTTGTACACATTAGAATCTAAAGATCTGCTGATCAAAATGATCAACCATGTCAAACATAAAGGCCTATAATCTCTTGTGAATTGGAGAATAGTGTTCAAATGTCATGTCCAACATTAAAATACAAAAAATATTTTAAAGTAGTGCTGATGAAATAGTGTAGCCTAACAATTATTTGGAGAAAGGATCACCTGAAGGAAAAACCTGGAGAAATGTATTGGATTTTCATACTGTGAGAGCATTATTTATTTTAATATACTATATCCCCCACTTCTTTCTCCAGACCAAGATTTATGCAAGTGTTTTTTGGAAATTATAACAACACTTTGCTTTCAATAGTGCAAAAAGAAACCTTTTTCATCAGCTTAAAAATAAAACAAATGACTCTGATTTCTTTTTTATTTTATTTACTTATTTATTTATTTATTTTTATGACTCTAATTTCTAAAGTCCCCTTTAACTAACATGCTATTCTCTCGTTTCCCAGTTCTTTACTTTCTTCAGAATTTACTCACTATGTGAGCACGCATGCGCACACACACAGAGGCACAAATGGAGTTACATACAGATAGAGAGATGTCTAATGAATTCTTACCTGATAACGTGTTGGCGGATTGAGAATGCTGTTAAAACTGTGTGATTCAAAAACTCTTGAGTTAGACTGAGTGAAGAGGTTTAACTAGGAAAAAATACAATTAACCTAGTAAATTAGAATACATTTATTTGGAATCAGAAATATAGTCTATTTTATTCTCCTGGATAACATTTATAGAGTCAACAAATTTTGGGAGAACACTGTGTAGAAGTTGAGTTTTAGAAATGATTTCATGTGTTTCCAAAGGTAAAAATTAATGTGAGAAATATGCTCACATTTATCAAAGTGTTGGCAAGATGTACTGTAATGGAACTGTTTTTTTGGCGGGGGGGTACCAGGGATCGAACTCGGGACCTTGCGCTTGGGAGGCAGGTGGCAGAACCACTGCGCTAAATCCCCAGTCCTGTAATAGAACTGTTAATTGAAACCGTATTTTTAAAAGTTGGCTCATACTAAAAACATTTTTCCTGGGGACCTTATACATTTAGCAAAATGTACTCATGGCATCTAAAAGTCACCTGACATGCTCCAATCTGCTCCTGAGAACCAGTTCCTCTTCTAGACTCCAACAGAAACATACTACAGATTTGGATGGTGTTATCAGGTATTTTCTAGCCCCCAAATATTGGCCAAAATAACTCATCTTCCCAAGCATCTTGACCTTATACTGAGCCAGGAATCACAATGTTGGAGAGAATTGGGCTAAAGAAGTTTAGTTTTCTTTTCTCCTGAAGATTTAGATTTTTGAATGGGAGGGTGCAGAAAGCAAAAGGCGTATGCAGGTAGGCACTGTCCATTTTTTATGTACATGAGCAGGGCCTGCCTGTCAGTCACTGGTAAACTGCCACCTACATGGTGTGATTCAAGCAGGGGCCCCAATCCAAAAAGATGTGTTTACCCCACCACCTGACTCCCCACCATTCCAAGGGGGTGGGAGGCGAGGGACACAGGAAGTGGCGCTGACAGGCAAGGACCCTCCTAACTGTTCTAAAGTTATGCCAAGAGAAAACTTTGACTAATACAGTTAATTTCCCAATTTGCCACTGGAGGTCAGTATCTGCCTGTGGGCTGAGGTTAGCTGTGTAGGCTAACAGCAAAGGTTTCTTGAAGCTCCTTCCTCAGCTCTAAAAAAGAAAAACAGAAAAGAATTTCTTCAATCCTTTACTAAATTCAATAGATGGCGAGTGTCTATGATTATGCATAAAGTTTAAGCAGGTCTTTGTATAACTTACAAAACTCCCTCAAAACAAAGTCAATTTTAGTAGTAGCAGAAGCCAGGCCCCTTTAAGAGCCAGCTATCTCACAGCTGAAGGTGGGGTGCATGGAGAAGAAAAGGGGCAGGAACTAAACCTAGACTCAGCTGCTGAGCAAGCAAGGCAGCCAGTGCAACAGAGAGAGCTAGGCACCTGCAGCTGCAGATGAATTCCACACTGCACTGCACTGGCTAGCCCAGGTGACCTTGTGTAAGGGAGTTATTTGCATGGCCTATAAGGTATCCTATCTATAAAATGGGAACAATGATAATACCTACCTCAAAGTGCGGCTCGAGGCTCAAATGTACAGCAAAGCACTTTGTCAACTGTGAATAAGGAAGGGCACTGATATTTGTCGAGGCTGGAACTTTGCACATCTCATATATAATCCTCACAATAACCTACAGTTTCCTCTCTTTCAGGTTAATCTAAATCCAGGTCTAACACTGAGGCTGCTACACTGCTTCTCACTATGTACCTACAAGGTGTTACCTTAAATCATGGCATGTCACAGACAATCATTGCCTTGCAACCTAATGCCTATAATAGCCCACATCCAGGCCAAACAAAAAAGATTTAAAAGTCATTTTCTTAAAGAATAAGATTGCAGGGTTATTACAAATCTTGGAAACTGATATCTATCTTAAAAGAAAGAAATTAAACTGCTATGATCCCCTTTTCCTGGCTTCAACTGAGAAAAAAATACCTACCTCTGCTCAAGAAAGGCTATACTTTATAGAAATAATGTTGATATCTTGTGAGCTCCCAAAGTATTGTAGCCACACACCATTTTCTTAATTTTAGACAAAAATATTATATTTTAGCCCACATTCTTGCTCCTAACTGCCTCCTTCTCTATTATTGAGGTTTGCCCATATCCTTATGTTTTCTGTGCCAATCCTAGCTCTGAAAACTAAATTCATGTTAATTAAGCACCATCGTGTACTTACCTTCTTTGTTAAAATTTAAGTGGGACTCAATTGGGGAAACTCAATGGCAACTATTCTGTTTTATTTATAAAAGGGGTATTTATGGTTATTTGAGGATGTTCTCAGGCCCAAATCTATTTTATGATACGGAAGGAAATAAAGCTATTATTTAGCCCAGTAAAAGTTCTCTACAAACAAGAAGAGTATGGTGGTGATGAACTATATACACAGCAACAGGAAAATCTGAGGTTAAAACTATTTAACTTCAGAATAACAGTTGAGAAACATGGAACACATGAAAACAAAGTGTTTTTCAACAGTAACAATTTTGTTTACTTTTAACAAGTTAAAGAAGCCTTTGTTTGCTTACTTTTAATCCAGTAGTTTACATGACCAAAAGCAGAGCATAGACTAAATGACTTCTTGAAACATTAGGCAGATATTAAGTATTAGTCTATGAAAGAGGATGGGGTGGACAGTTATTTCCAACATCTTTTAAGTTCACACATGAAAATTCATGAACAAACATCAAAAGACAGGGAGAAAGAGATAAAACATGTATTTTAGGGATTTGGTAAATTGTCATTACCTACCCTAGACTTTGAGTTACCCAGTCCCATCTCCAGATCCTTCTGCAGCCTTCTCCTTCTGCATTTGGAAAAGTTAATGATCCGCATGATGAAATAAACAAAGGATTTTGGACTGGGAACCAGACTGAAGGGTGGAGGTAATGTTTTTCCATCATCAAAATAGGATAACCAGAGTTTTGAACGCGCAAACTTCCATTCTACATCACTGTCATCCTGCCACAAAAATAGAATATTTAAAACTAAGCATTCTAGTAAATGGTGTACTTTCTTGCGATGAAGCTACATTATTTTTTGAAGTAGGTAACTTACACACATTTATTTGCATATAATCTCTCTAAGCCTATATAATATACTAAGTATAATTTGCATGATACTTAAAAATGTCTCTCTTCCATATGCCTTTGTCTATACTACTGATGGCGAACCTTTTAGAGACTGAGTGCCAACCTGTAACCCCAAACCCATTTATTTATCACAAAGTGCCAACACTGCAATTAAAACTGAAGATTGAGGTTTTAGAAACAACTCATACATTAACATCTTTTGTCTTAAGAGAAAAACACAATTACTTGCGTGCCATAAGTTCACCACTACTGTCTGTACCCATTGTATTTTAACCAGAATTTCCTGCCACCCACTCAAAGACAAAGCAAAATGTAAGACAATTCAGGGTTAAGCAAAAAAAAAGAATATTAATTCCATCATAAAGAATACAAAAACATAAAAAACATGCTGGTAAGGCCAGGGATTTAGCTCAGTGGTTCTGCTGCCTGCCTTGCAAGCACAAGGACCTGAGTTTGATCCCTGGTACCAGAAAAAAAAAATGCTGGTAAGGATGTGGGAGAAAAGGAACACTTCTGCATTGTTGGTGGGATTGTAAATTAGCACACCCACTACATAAACAGTATAAACTTAACACTTAAAGTAGAAACATTGTATGACCCAGCTATACTAAGGGAATTAAAATCAGCATAGTCTACAGATATCTGCATATACATCTTTATTGTAGCCCAATTCATAATAAATAAGATATGGAACCAGCCAATGGATGAATAAAGAAAGTGTGGTTATATACACATAGTAGAGTTTATTCAACCATAAAGAAGCATGAATTTGTCATTTGCAGGAAAATGGATGGAAATAGAAATCATTGTGTTAAGCAAACTAATCCAGAATCAAAAAGGCAAGCATAACATATTTTCCCTAATGTGCAGGACATAAACAAACAAACAAACAAGATGACATGAAAGTGGAAGGGATGTTATTATTAGACAAGAAGAAGGGAATGGGGGGAGAGGGTTGTAAGGCAGGGTAATGGAAGGAATGGATATGATCATAATATGAAAAAAAGGTGTATCTGTACTTTAAGCCTTTTAACTTCAACTAGGAAAATTTTCTCTTTCAATAAAATTAATATTAAACAAAGAACAAAAAATGCCTCCCTCCATTCCTTATGCCAACAAATTTGGCTTCTTAAACAATGGTTTCCCTCTCCTAGACCCATCCAAGCCAACTGATACAGCATACTGTATTTTATTCCAAGGGCAAAGCAAAAACTGATATTTATATCAATTGTTCTTTGGAGTTTGTGTTTCTGCCACATGTCCTGAAATGCCACACAAGTTCTCCAATCACCTGGACCTGTCTTCTATCACCTTTTATCTCAGCACTGACCCATGGTGCCTGGCATATCCATCCTAACTGACAGAAGAAATGAGGAGGGGTTGCTAGGTGGAGGAATGCTGGCCCACTCAATTCACACAGCCCCAATTGGCACCACCACACCCACAGCAGGTGTTAGTGCTAGGGTATTCATTTCTGGACGAACTAACTTCTGCCTTGATCCCAGTATGAGTTTCATACATAGATTTGATAGAATAAAAACAGCTCAGCACTCAAATGGTACTGAACACAAAATTGGAGGACATCAGAAAATATATACAGCGATGAAGAGTGCTACAAAGTCAAGTCTGACCCCAAATCAAAAGTAGAGTGATTTCTTTTTTTTTTTTTAAGAATACCTTGGGTTTTGTTTGTTTGTTTGTTTTATTTTTGGTACTGGGGCTCAAACTCAGGACCTTGCACTTGAGAGGCAGGCAGTGGAACCACTGAGCTAAATCCCTGGCCCTGAGTGATTTTTTGAGTCCTGAAAATTCTGACTGAATAAATAATGTCATCCACATTTGCCAGGCATCTAGCAATTCTTCCACCACAAACAATAGCTACCTGACTAAGCTAGGTGATAATTTCCCTACAGCCAATACTTCTAGCTAATAACTTCAACATTTCTGAAAAAGACCCCAAGAGAAGGCAAAGCAGTAGCAAATTCATGGACACCCCAGCTGTGCTCCTAGAAGACACTGGAAGCTATGTTGCTACCTGTTCAGGCGGAAAACAGGCGAGGCCAGGCTCCATCTGCTTGGATACGAGCTTTGCTTCACGAGCTGTGACTCTACCCCAGGATACAGAAGCACATGTCACCCACTAGCAGAGAGACATCTAGGACAGAAAAGAAGCTTACCTCAATTTCTTGATATGAGCTATTAATCATAGCAATTAACATGTTGAGTAAAACGACCACCATAGTTACATTGTATATTCCATAAAGAACGTATCCAATATTCTCTATGAATTTGTGATCGTACTTGAGCACAACTGAAGTCACTTCAGACAACCCAAATATTGACCAAAACAAAGTCTTGAAACTTTCTTCTACACTGTTGAAAAAATAAGATACAGAGTAATTAAGTAACATTTTTAGTATTAAAAAGTGAAAAGTAAAAACATGTTAGGGTCTAATACTATACAGATGTCAAATGCCACCATAAAATGTTACATTACAGGTGCACTCCTGTAATCCCAGCACTCTGGCAGGCTGAGGCAGGATTGCAAGTTTGAGCCCAGGCTGAGTAACTTAGCAACTTAGTGAGACTGTCTCAAAATAAAAAAATAAAAAGGGTTGTAGCTCAATGTGAAGGCCCTGGGATCAATCCCCAGTACACCACACACACACACACACACACACACACACACACACACACACACACACATACATAGTCATTATAATAAACTATTCACAATTTCTTTCTTTTTTTCTTTTTGGTACCGGGGATTGAACTTGGGACCTTGCTCTTTTGAGGCAGGTGGCGGAACCACTGAGCTAAATCCCTGGCCCCTTCACGATTACTTTCAATAAAATTTCTAACAGTAGAATTAGTCTGTCATAATATTTGACAGAAATTACTCTCTCAGTTTTCAGGAACTGGTGCCAATTCCTAGTTTTTCTGAAGTTATCATCAAGTGAAAACCCTCTGCACTTAGCAGAAAAAAGCTAAGTACCCATTCCTTGCTCCTAAAGTGTCAAAAATTTTGAGCTTTATTTTTTGTAGGTGATTTAGAAATTTACACCAGACTTTCTGGAGTAAGCAGAATTACAATTAAAATTGTAAACCCATTTCAAAAACCGTATGCACAAACTTATTCCTTGCAACGTGATTTTCAATGGAATGATTTGCATTTAGAACAAAAGCAACCTAAATATCCAGGGAATGGGTTAAATAATTCTGTACATCCAGACAATGAATTGCTACAGAACCCAGGAGACAAAATGACACAGTTCTATCTTCCTGTGCTAATACTGAAAAAAATAATATTTTGCAAGTGTGAACTATTTTATCATTTGAATACAAATAAGGGTATACAATTACTTATAATTTCTTTATGCAAAAAAAAAATCTCTGAAAGAAATCATTACTTCTGGGAACCAAGGAGAATGAATAGACTGGAGTCCAGGGGTAGAGAAGGAGAGGCTTTTCAGTGCAGACACCTCATTGAATCTTCATCACAAGCACATACAGTCATTGCTTGGTGTCTGCATGGGATTGGTTCCACCATTCTTCAGGGATAACAATAGCTATGGATGCTCAGTCAGTCCTTTATATTTGCACATTATCTGCACCTATCTTCCTGTACACTTCAAGCTATCTCTAGTTTACTTATGATACTTAATACAATGCAAAAGATATATAGTTGTTACACCATATTCTTTGAGAGATGACAAGAAGTAAGTCTGTACATGTTCAGTACAGATACATATTTTTTAAAGAATATATCTGCCCCACAGTTGATTGAATCTGCAAACGTAAAAGCCATGGATAATGACTGTATTACCTACCTAGAAATACTTACCTGGAAATAAAGTGAGGGCAACAGAATGAAAGATTCCTGTTACTTTAATTTACATAATCTACTCCTAATCTTTCTATCAGTTAGTACACAGGCCCTCACTAGACTAATTACCTACTTTTGTCTCCTAAATGGCTGACTTTATCACGTGATTGAGTTATAATCATGATCTGTGAACTGGACAAATAATTCTTAAACAGTTACCCATGTCAAATTCTATTACAAAGAAAAACTCAAAAGTAAGTCCTTTTTCCAGAAAATGTTTTTGAGACAATACTTTAAAAACTTTTTACAACATATTCTAACTAATGAATCTTATTGATTTGTAAGTTTAAATACTAGTTCATTAAGTTATTCATTCATTCAACAGATACTGATGGAGGATCTATTAGATTCTAGAAATTTTGCTAGACCCTGGGGATAGAGAGTTATTAGGAAGGTTTCTGTTCCTGTGGTTAGTTACTCTGTATTATGAAACATTTGATGTGTGATGTGTGATCAGCATAGGTGCTGATGGGAGACTAAGAAAAGCTCTAACCTGTTTCTGCCATCTATTCAGCAATATCACAATGCTCTCCTGCTCCTTTGCAAACCTGCCCAGCACTAACTTCTCTTTGCATCTGTGTGGAGTGTGTGTCAGGAAGGCTGGGGCAGTACAAATGGAAAGGATGCCCATGGTTCTGAATTCCTACTATAGGCAGGAGGCTTTATATAGCTTGCCTTATGTAATCCTCCAAAAGGCTTTATTTAAACCTTATTGTACTTATTCTTAAATAAAATGACACTAAAAACGTTGAGTAATTTAACCAAAGGCCATTGCTTTAGAAAAATAGCAGAGACTGCATTAAAGTCTTGATCTGCCAGATTTTCCAGCTTATTTTTTTTCACTACATCATGCTGCCTCCCCCCAAAAGTGAAAAAAACATATTATAGGAAATAAGTCACCATAGAATTAAAGGGAGGGAGAGCAGAGCAGAGGCATTGTGTGTAAGCCCTTTTTTTCTGATGGGTTTAAACAGATTTTTTTTCCTTTATTACAATAAAGTGAGTTTTAGGTCTCCTTCACCCTTAAGACTTGGTTTATATTAACTATTTAAAAATTGATTTCAGAACAATTTAGATATCTGCAAGGGCTAGATATTCTACTTTTAGTCTATAGGGAATGTATTGAATGTGCAGTTGGTTTCCAGTTGTGGCATTATAGCAAAGAGAGAAAAGGAGGGGTCTCCCAGATACAAGGACTGAAATCCAGAGGGAGGGCTCCATATTCATGACAACCAAATGGGTGATAAAGAACCTCACAATCTGGAAATCTCCACAGTGAAGAGCTTTAAAGGGATACTGACTGAGGAAAACAAGGGAGAGTTCATGGAGAAGGTGAATCTGCAATGCAGAAACCAGTATAACCAAGAGAAGGAAGTAGAACTACCTTTACAGTAGGCGGTAAGACATTTCACTTCACTTTCAACTTACTCAGCTCCCTGTACTGGGTAATGATGAATACATTAAAATAAAAGCTGATGCTTCCTTTTATGAAGTAGTACTGACTGCAAAATGATGAAGCTAAATTTAATGTTATACATAATGTAAGAGACAATAAGTATTAGAAATGTTATTTCATTCTCTTAAAATAGTCACTTTTGTATGGGAATTTTCCAAATCCTAATCAATTCTGTGATCAGATGTGCACTAAGCTCAAAGAGACAAATCTGTGGAGCAATGCAAACACATGTAAACATGAACTGTTTTTTATGGATTTTTTCCTGCTTTTTTTTTTTTAATACTGGGAATTGAACTCAGGGCCTCATATTTGCAAAGCACATACTCTACCAGTGAGCTATATGTCTAGCCCACTTTACTGATCTTAAAACATCTTTATTACAATAACAAAAATTTGTTTCGTCTAGACTTGTGAGAACTCCTCTTCATAATACCTTTTTAGTAAGATATTTTACTTACGTGGTAAAAGCAGCATTTACTTTGGCCCCAAGGTAGTAAGAATAAAGTATGAACATGCCAATCATAAATGCCAGAAACACCATAATAAAGAGGACCATGAACTTGAATATGTCCTTCACAGTCCTTCCAAGAGAGATCTGTAAGGGGCCAAAGCTCTCGTTGGCAGGGAGGATATACGCGATCCGAGAGAAGCTGAGCACGACAGCTATAGCGTAAAGGCCTTCAGATATGATCTGAGGGTCAGAAGGGAGCCATTTATCTCTAGCTAGAAAGAAGAGAGAAAGATTAAACATGAAGCACTCTATCCATTGTTAACTATGCAAATACCTTAAATATTTATCTTGTTGGTTGGTGGTTATCATCTCAGTTGAGACTACTGTAGATTAAATTAATTGTTCAAGGACTATATTTATGTTAAATCAGAAACAAAACTTCTACATTAGTTCCAATGGGGGAAACATTATTATACAGATAGTGACTTCACATAGACAGAAACAGAATAAAATACAAAAAATAAGGAGATTAAAACACAGACTAGGTCCAGGATGATGAAATAACCACTTGTCCCCTCAGTTATTAGATATATTGGCCAGTTATTCTGTCATTCTATAGGCATGGCTGGTATGAATCTTCTTTTCCATATTTGGTGGGGAAGTTAGTTCATCTAACGGTTTATGCAAGTAAAATGTCAGATGGTGATGAGGGAGAATGGCATTGAATCCCAGTGGTGCTGACTACGTGATAGCCAGGCAATATAACTTGTTCTGGAAAATGGAAAATGCCATGCAGTGTAAAAATTTGTAGTAAGTAAAAAAAAATACAGATTCTGAATGAGGAACCCTAAGAATCTTTTCAAGGTTATTTATTAAGATTGCAGTAGATCCATTCCCTGGTACTTAAGCAAAGCTCTATCTGGGTAATTTTGTGCAAACTGGGACATTTCCAAAAGAATGGATACATTGTACATATGTTACACCAAAAATGAATACTTATTGAATGTTTAATATGCATCACACACTGCTTCTTCTCACTCTATGGAGTCAATGTTAAACTTTTTTTAGAGATGCAGAATCCAAGACCTAGAAAAGTTCATTTCATCAAAACCACACATATGGGAAATAGGGAAGCTTGAATTCACAAGTTCCCTTCTAGACAACAGTTGGTAAATTTGTATGAATAAATTTAAATAGCTAGGTTATGTTAATAGCCAAGATATCTCACAAAATAGAACCTAAGTTAATTCTGTAATTACAAGTGGGGATCATTTGTTTATCTGAGCCAGAGTGCTTGGTATATAGGAATCCTTGCTTGCTGACAATAAAAGACAATGTGTTTAAATTTCATGCTGTGCAAAATCTTATATTTTGGAGTGGGATTCCAGCCTTCTTCAATAATGTGAATGTGCTACAGGTACTTGTCGCAATGTAAGCCCTTGTTACACTTATAAAGGGTTACTCTTCACAACCAGCACACATTTGAATTCCATGCTTGAGTTTCTTAACAGTAAAATGAGTTATACAATATGAACCTATATGAAAATTTGCTAATTGTAGTTTCTCAATTGGCCTCAAGGGAAAGGAGGCTAACATTATTTAATATTGGTTCATTCTAGGTAAGAAAGGATTATTATCCTTTTACCTAGATGTCAGTTGGGGTCTCCTTGCTCTTTGTTATATAGGAAAGTTTGGCATGAACCCCATCCCATGCTATGCGAGAAAGCAAAAGATCCTCCTCTACATTTCTGCTAGTTCTCCAGTGCTTACACTCTCGTGATCACTTTTGGTATCTACTCTTAATTAGCATTTTCTTCCAAAATACCCTGCTTGAAACATAAGAGGATCTTGAAACTAACAACTTACCATAAGTGAAATACTGTATCTCTGGTGGGAGTGTGACTTCACTGAGGTCACTCTCTTGGACATAACTGTCCACATACTGCTGGGCTTTAGTTGCCTGCAGGAAAGCCAGGAATCTGGCTGTGAAAGCAGCAATGAAGATGGAAAGCATCCCAAAGTCAAGAACATTCCACAACTGCAAAATATATTCTCTAGGTCCTTCCAGCCAGAGCTCCTTACACTCAGACCACATCATTCCTATCACAACAAAGACAGAGGGTAAGAATTAGATTTTACAGCAGAGGCTAACAAGCTGTTATTTTGTACACCACCTGGGAGCATCTATAAAATGTAAAGCACTGCACTAGGTACCACAACGCACAGAGAGACTATGGTCACTGAGGTCCTAGGCAGAGTTAAATGTAAGAAACAGGTTCTATTAAGGGAATAATTTGTCCCACTGTTAGAATTGGGAGAAACAAAGGCTAAGGTAGCTCAGTAATAGAGTACTTGTGTATTGTGTGCCAGGGCAAGATGCTGGCCTCGATAGGAGGAGGAGGGGAGGAGGAGAAGGAGAGAGAGAAGGAAGAGGAGGAAGAAGAAGGGAATAACTAATCTATTAATTCAGGAAGTGAGAAGATACCAAGAAACATACTGGATGAAACATGGAGAATACACAAAAAAATGATCTTTCACTAGTAATCAGTGGAAAAATTCATTTCAGCTTCCATTTACTAGGATGGAGCAAAAACAATTTTTTTCTCGTATTACTTAAAGCTTTGCATTAACACAGCTACTCAAAATGGGTTATTATAAGGGGCAGTAGCAAACATTCTGAAAAGAGAAACTGAAAATCTCTGAAACTAAAGCAATGTAAACTGATAACTTTAGTCATCAGTTAACAGTTGGTGGATTATTTCTTCAACATTTCAGTATTTTAATTAAATAATTGCTCACAACAGTGAGTTACATTTAAAAACTTACATTTTGTTCAATCATTCAAGTTAGACTGTTGAAACATGGTACACTTACAGTTATGTTTGTGTTGATTACAAAATTTATTTAGTATTAAAGTACACGTTCAGAATTATCTAGGTACCGAGTTGTTCAATGATTTTGCTGTTTAGCCTACTTACAATGGTGATGTTTTCACTATGTAACACTTTCAGTAGAAAACAACAATAATTTATATAATATTTTTGGCCAGAAAATAGTGTACGTGAGGAGCTTACCAAGAACCCAGACCATAATGAGCATTTCGGTCCATGTGAACTGGGTGGTCTTCACTCTGAAGATCTGTTTGGGGTAGTCAATGACGGTGATGTTGGGCAGTGTGGCAATCCCTTCAAACCTGTCGGAGGCATTGAACACCAGCAGGCCCAGGAAGATGATGAACGAAGCGGCATGTGCCACAAACTTCATGAAAGGGCTTCGCAGGATTTTCCCCAGCTGTAATAAGACCCCCCCCCACCAAAGAAAAAATGAGAGAGATTTTATTTTAGAAAATCTGGCTTCTACTCAAGACAGTTATCATCCAGAATAAAATAATATATAAATAAGGGAAATGAAAACACTTCAAAAATCTGCTTGTTTCTAAAAAGCTATATATTGTGAAAAGTAATGTTTTAGGGAGATACTTCCTCAAAACTAATTAATCTCTTTAAATTGTTTCTAAATGCCCAATTTTGGCCAGGCATGGTGGTACACACCTATAACCCTAGTACTTGAGAGGCTGAGGCAGGAGGATTGCTGTGAGTTTGTGGCCAGCCTGGGTTACATTAGTGAGTTCAAGACCAGCCTGGACTACACAGAGAGATCCTGTCTCAAAACAAAAACAAAAACAAAAAAACTTTAAAAAATGTCCAATTTGTCTCAAGATATACTGCATTGGCAGATGCCCTTCTTGAAATAACAGGGCATATACTGATTCTTGCTCTTACTTTTATATGAAAGATTATGGAAAGTCAAAATTCTTACAGTTTGGGAAAAGAAACTTCAAATTTGGACTGTGTAATTTCCCTTCTTTTCTCTTCCCACTCCTCTTTTTCTTCTTCCTCCTCCTCCTTTTTTTGTACGGGGGATTGAACTCAGGGCTTTCTCACTGAGATATATCCCTAGCTTCCTCCTCTTTCATTTTTTATTTTGAGACAAAATCCCATTAAATTAACCAAGCTGGGCTTGAATTTGTGATATTCCTGTCTCAACTTCCAGAGTGCTGGGATCATACCACACCCAGCTGTGTAATTCTTTAATGGTCTGTAAGTGAAATGTTATGATGTAGACTCTTAGAAGGCAATAAAACCCTCTAGTAAAAGAATTACTACAATAAAAGTGAATTTTGGTTCTTATTTATAAATATTCTAAAATCATTATACCTTGTATCATATTTTAAAACGCAGAAAATAAAAGAATCAAGACAAATATTGTATCATTACTGCTCCAACAAGAGGGAGATACACAATAATTAAAACCCCTAAGTAGATTAACTTAATCAAACGTTATTTCTGAGTTTGGAAAATTATGCTATAGTATAAAATCACTTCTAGAGTTCAGTTTATAATTATTTTAAGGTGACTACTTAAAAATCCCCTGTGATATAATGTCCTTAAAAGTTCTATGTTCTTGGTGCTGGTGCCTGCCTTGCAAGTGCAAGGTCCCAAGTTTGATCCCCAGCACACACACAAAAAAGAAAAGTCCTATGTTCTAGTAGAAAACTAGAACATAAAACATTAAAAACAATTCCTCCTGCCTCCAGGGCTTCTACAATTCAAGAATTAGACACATTTGGTAGATCTGTCAAATAAGTTCTCTATTCTATATACTTAGATCCCACTTTTTAACTCAATCTGTGACCCTATAAAGTATTGAGGTTCATATTTTAAAGATGTTAAATTTGAGCTAATGGTCTAGAACGGTGGTGGCGAACCTAAGGCATCATGCCACAGTGGGCTGAATGCACCACTGAAAGCTCTAAAAGGTTTGTCAAATATTTCTGAGATTGAACAGGAATACATACAGACAAATGTCACATTATCCATAGACATGGAAAAATAGACGGCAATGTAGTCACACATCACTCTGCTGTTACGCCCAGTGAGGGTGCACTGGGGCAGCTTATCCACAGCACATGTGATTTCCTGGGAGTTGACAAGTCTGTTTCACCTAAAGGTTGGTCCTTTAAAACTTTAAGATGGAAAGAAAGCAGCATGCTTATTTTTAAAATGGGATATATGTGGAGAATTCTTGTTATGCTGCTGTTTCACTGTAGATAGGTGGTAGACAGCAGCTGCAAACAGACTCCAGAAATGGCTCAATTCCTACCTTTCTTTCCCTTTTCTGCTCACCAGGGCTTTCCACACTGTTAGCTGCACTTTGGAAAGTAAAGAGGGGAAAAAAGAAAAGAGGAGTGGACCCCAAGATGCCTACTTCAAACCTGATGTAATATTTTAAAAAATTAAGCTGCTATAAGAGACCTGAACTTTCCAATTCATTTCCCCCAGAATGGGAAATTATGTGGGTAGATTATGATTTTTGCTTTATTGCATGCTCTTTCATATTATTTATATATTTTAGTCTTTACTGTTTATGTAGCTGAAGAATCATAAAGTAGTTTTCCATGATACATATCAAAAGAACTTAGTCGAGTCATCAGACTTGATCAAAATGACAAATTTTCTGCCTTAAGTTGCACTGGGCAACTCAACCATGAAGTGAGATGGATGAAAATTCCACACATATATGGTGCCCGCAGAGCAAGACTGCCGGGGAGACTGCCAAGCCAGAGAGTTGACAGATTTCCTGGGTCACTTGTAGGTGGCCTTGACTCATTTTGCCTAAAACAGCCTCTGATTTAAACAAAACCAGATTTCAGAACATATAAACAGGATTAAAGGATCTCAGAACAATTCCTCTCTGGCAGTACTCCCTATTAACCGAATACAGATTTTGTGAGCCTGGCTGGTATTCTTTTCCACATCTTGTTTAGGGGGTCTCAGGCACAACTAAATCGGCTTTACACAGGCCAGTTTGAAAGAGGAAAAAAGACAGCTAAAAAAAAAAAAATGATCAAAGCAACCCAAAATTCCCCAAACCCAAATTCTACTTGTTTTAGAAACTTCTGAAAGAACAAAGGGCTAGGAGAACCTGATATGCACTTGTTTGAAGACTTCAGATAACACATTTACTGCACTTGATACACTGAGCCTTCAATCGTTTGTGACAAGTTCAAGTGCTCCCCAGGCTAACCAGCTCTTGGTTCTCCTGCAGTAGGGCTGTCCACTCCCCTTTCCCTCCACAGTCAGCTTAGTCAATGATCTGCTTATTAAGCTGTCAATAGCATCGGCACAAACGCTACTTCATTCAAGCTGCTTTTCCTCCTTTCTCTACCATAGGGATTTTATTTTAAAAGCCTAAGTGTTTTGCATCTGAAAATGTGATCATCCCTGCTAGTGCCAAATCCTTTCTCATCCCTTATTTGAATTGATTCAGTCATTAAAAAGCAGAGCCTCTGTTCTTGAGTCAATTAAAATTCAAGGTAAAACAAACAGGAGCCTTAGGTTGAAGCTTTTTTCTTTCTCATCCCAAAAGGACATGCAAATTCAACCACAGAGGAAAAAATATATAGAAGGCCAGTACCCTGCTGCAAGGTGCAATCCAATAGCCAATGGCGAGAAATGGAAGACCCAAGGCCACCACCAGCACAACCAGACACTTGATTGCAATGGTCTGTTCCCGAAGGCCTGAGAGGTTTTCATACCAAATCGTCAAAAGCTGCTGCTGGCAGTTGGGGTGAGCTACAAACTGCAGGGAGGAAGAGAGAGAAAAAGAGGTTACCATACTGTTGCCAACAGTTCACCTACCAAAAGCATGTGCATCCCAAAGATAGTCACATGCTTTTCCAGAATTCAGGCCTTGGAAAGTTCTGGTGAAATTCTCCTTCTTTCTTTCATTTACTGAAATTGCTTGACAGCTCTTAGGAGAACTAATTTGGAAACAAGAATGTAAAATTGATGTTCTTAGTCTAGTACTTTCTGAGGGAAACCTTCCTAAATTCACAGGTTCCTCTATCGAGTCTGGGTGACATCTGGTTTCTTTTGTGACAATGTCCCTCATCTTCCTGACTGCCACTTGATTTGTATTAAGCTCAAAATGGAAAAGAAAACCAGTTATTTGGTTTAATATCTGTTATAATTAAAAGAGAAATGTTATTTAATTTCATGAACAACCTCTAAAATGCTACATATGTGAAAAATAGATGATACGCTGTATGAATATCCATGTACTGTTACTGAAAACCTGAAAAAGATCAGCAAAGTAATCAATGAACCTGCAGGTATCATTCTAGCTCCACATTTGCACTGCTTCCTTAGGCTGACACAAAATGTTGCTTCTCTTCTATTTCAGAAATGTGTCCATCTTATTTTTTTTAGGGTTATTAATTTGTGCTTTGTTTTTTCAAAATTAACTTTATTGGTACATTTTAGGTATACATTATGATCACATTCATCATTGGGAATTTGTACCTGTACATGATATATCTTAGTTTTTGTTTTTCCCATTCCCCTACCCTCCCTTCTACCCCTCCACCCCTCCCTATTTAGAAAAGCTTTATTTCCATTTTTCCTTCTTTTCTCATATTTTTCTCTTTCCCTTCCTTCCTTTTCTCCAGCCCCCCTACTTCCCCTTCCCCTTTGAAACTTTGCTTCCTATTTCACATTATCTATTATACATTTTGGTCCTCATTTACACTTTCAGGTCATTCAAGAGATGCAAATGAAAACAATGCTGAAATTCCATCTCACTCCAGAAAGAATAGCTGCTATCAAGAATGTCAACCGATAACAAATGCTGGAGGGGCTGTGGGGAAAAAGGAACCTTTCTCTACTATTGGTGGGAATGTAGACTGGTGCAACCACTGTGGAAATCAGTGCGGAGATACCTCAAAGAACTAGGACTGGAAGTTCCATTTGACCCAGCTATTCCCCTACTGGGTATCTTCCCCCCAAAATTAAAGAATCATACCACAGCGATATATGTGCACCCATGTTTATAGCAGCACAGTTTGTAATAGCTAAATCTTGGAAACAACCTAAATGCCTGTGAACTGGTGACTGGATAAAGATTTTTTTTTATATAAAATGGAGTACTACTCAGCTGTAAAGAATGATAAACTAGAGACATTTATAGGTAAATGGATCCATATCGAGGCCATACTCTTAAGTGTCCACCTTTTTTTATTGTTTCCTCTATCATAGTTCAAAAGAATACAAATATTTACCATAAGTTTTTTCATAACTATAATTCTAATCAGGAAAAATGAACAAATAATTCCTTATTTCAGCCTTGCTATTTTTCTTTTCCTTTTCCTTTTTTTTTTTTATTATTTCAACTTTGCTAAGTCACCCACCAGCATCACTTAGAAGGGACTGGGATTCCTTTAAGACCCAATCCTTTTATTTATTTATTTATTTATTTATTTATTGGTACCAAGAATTGAACTTGGGACCTTCAGCTTGCAAGGCAAGCACCAGAACCACTGAGCTAAATCCCTGGCTTGTTTATTTTTTTAAAGTTATTTTCATCCTATTCTTTTTCAGGTACAGAATGTATTTGCAATCAGGTCCATATAAAAGTCCCTATGCCAGAATGTTGCCCATTTCTGGCTAGATACAAGTCTATCTTTGGCCAGGTGGGGTTTCCTCAGCTTGGGAATTAGGAAGAGTCATTCAAAAATCAAAAAGCCAAAAATAGGATGGGTCATTCAAAAATCAATAAGCCAACATATTTTTTAAAAGGACTTTTTAGCAAAAAAAAACAACAACCAAAAATCAAAGTACCAGAGTCTTCTAAAAAAAAAAAAAAGAATAGACAATAGCAATGAGCCTACTAGGAAGCAACCGTGAAATGTTTAGGGAACTCTACAAGAAGCCGCAGTTGGTACTTGAAAAAGGGTTCATTTTTCATCAAGCTCTAGTTAATGATCCTGATGAGTGCCAGGAACCCAGGCATTTCCTCAAGTTATTCAGCTACTTATCAATAACACATCTGCAAGGAAGTGAACAGGTTGTCACTTACTGGTGTGGAGTTTCCTATCTGCAACTGTAATATTTTTAAGAAGGCTCACCTCCCAGGGCAAGCGGTGAGGGCCCCATGTCCCCATCTCCACTCCCATCCTGTAGCCCAGTATGTGCATCACCACTGGGATGAAAGCGCCGGCAGCTGCCATTGTGCCACAGGCACAGGACATGCAGAATGACTTGACAACCCCATTGACAGAGGAGGTGAGAATGCATTTACAAATACAAGCTTTGAAATACTTTACTGAATTCTTTGCATTAATGCTAACAGGTAGTGTGTGAGAGAGTTAAAGTACTAAAAAGATGTTATCTTTTCTTGTTTGATGATTCAATATGAAAAAAATCATATTCTTATGGACTGAATAGATCCTCCCTCAAATTCATATGTTGAAATTGTAATCCCTAATGTGCTGTATTAGGAGGTGGGACTGGGGAGGTGATTAGATCATGAGGATGGAGCTCTCACAATGGGAGGCACCCTTTTAAGAGATACCCCAGGAGCTCTCTGGCTCTTTCTGCCTTGTGACGGCAATGAGAAGTCAACAGTCTGCAGCTAAGGAAAGGGCCCTCATTAGGACCCCACCGTACTGGCACCCTGACCTGACTTCACCCTCTAGAATTGTGAGAAATGAATTTCTGTTGTTTGTAAATCACCTAACCTATGGTACTCTTTTATCAGCAGCCCCAAATGACTAAGATACATATTTTACGAGTATTTTTCAATTCAGTGATAAAAATCCCAGATCCTGACAGTCAGTGGTCATTGCTGGTGCTACGCACACATCTTCTTTCCAAACCAAAATCTGTCTCTCTCTCAGGGTTCTGATTTTTGAAGAGAATATTTCACATAGCAACGTAGTCATTATTTGAACTCGCAATAAGAATCTGCAGATATACTTAAGGTTGAAGCCTTCCTAGGTTTCTTGCTAAGAATTCCAAGTGTCCATTTTGCCCCTCTCCCCCTGCCCCCGTACTATATTTGGATCATTTCCTTCATGCTGCACTCCTCCTTCTACAGTTCCCAAATGTCCACCTCATTTGTTCGCTCACTCATCAAAACATCTAAAATCCCTATTCTTACCCTGGCACTGTGTTGTGCATTTGGTATGAGAAGATAATGTGAGAGCATCAGCACTGCACCAATGGATAAACAGTCATGGCTCTAGGGTTCACAGTGAGCTCTCAACAAGTGCAACGACTTAAACTACATGCCTGTCAAGACAGTAAGAATTTGTGATATTGTAGTCTTAATCTGAATGTTGGTCCACACGTATTTGGAGGCTATACATCTGTGGGAAGTTGGACAGATGCAAATACAAGTTGTCCATAGTGAACCAGCCAGATTAGGTTTAGGATGAGAAATAGTACATATAAGAAGAGCTACATGTTGAACATATAATGTCATCAGATTGGATTATTATTTGTGAAGTCAACTGTGCCCTTTTTAATTTTATAAGCCAAAGGCTTCTGCAAGACACAAAATATCCATGAAGTTAAGAGACAAATGGAAATGTGGATTTGGATTGAGGAACACATTTCTCATTGGGAAGGGCCTGCTTTCTATGGTTTGAATGGGTCTCCTCCAAAGTGCAGATGTTGCCATTGTGATATTACTAAGAGATGAGGTCTTTAAAGGATGACTAGAGCCAAGTGCAGGTGCCATGGCATGCACCTCTATTCCCAGCTACTGGGGAAGCTAAGGCAGGAGGATTCCTGGAGCCCAGAAGTTTGGGACCACAGCAGCAACAACAATAGCAGCAGCAGACAGAGGTGATTGCTCATGAAGGCTGCCCACTCATTAAAGGGGTTAAGGTTCTTATAAAACAGTTCCATCCACCTGAGGACGTAGTGCTCCACCTCTCTGTAGGATGTAGCCCTTACCAGGGAATTGAACCTGCCAGTCCTTGACCTTGGATTACCAGCCTCAGATCTGAGAAAATTCACTTCTGCTCCTATAAACCATCCAGACTCAGGTATTATGTTACAGCCTCACAAATGGACTAAGACATTTCCCTTTCTTCAGTTGTAAACTCTTAAGAAGAGAAATATTAATGTGGTAGTATAGCTCCCTTTTCCTACTCCTGCTCCCTAAGGCAATCCTTAAATCTGAAGATGTGCTTTATGGCATTAACTACACCTGCATTAAGGTTGCACAGGTTCAAAGAAAGATCTGATAAGTCAATCCTTTTCATGATATATATGCACCAATGCAACCTTTAACTCTCTGTGACTTGAACAATACAGTGCAAACATTTACGTGTCAAATAATAGCCAGAATTATGGGGTTTACTTTTTGCTTGTGAGTCTTTAAAATTCAGCTTAACAAGCATATTTCTGATACCAATAAATCTATTCTCTTATTTAAGATAATACATCATCACATGGACTGTGTTAATTTCTTTTAATTTACGCAAACAGATTTTCTTCAATGATTTAAAACCCTAATACAAGTGCATAAGAGGTATTCCAAAAAAGAAAATAAAACCAATACAATATTAGCAAGCGAAAGCAGAAAACTAATCCCTTTGGGAAATGAGTTTTGCTCTTTTCAGTGACTTCAAATAGGATGGTGACCTTTATCTCCTAAAACTGTTTTACGTCCAAAAAAAATCTCCTTATGCTGCCATACCAGTCATAGCCAGCTGGATAAAGTTTTTATGCTGTTTCCTAACTTCAGTGGACCAGCAAATTGAAGTCATTACAAAAATAATACCCTCTTTGAGG